TGAACCACAGGCAGGCAGGGGCATGGCCAGACACCAGCCTCCCTAAGTTAAAGGAGGCAGAGAAGAGGTTTATTCATCCTCCCCGTCCTGTCCCACCAGCACAAGCCCCAGCAGGGCCTGACAGGCAGGGGACAGCAGCCCATGCCAGGCATTTCTCTGCTTTCTGCTCCAACAGCAGGGGCATGGCAAGCCCTGGCAGTAGCCTTAAGTAAACTCACCAGGGAGGGGTTTAATTCCCCCCCTCCCTGTCCCACCAGCATGGACCCGAGCCGGGGTCCACCTGGCATTCCCCCCGCGCTGCTGCAGGGATGGCAGCCTGGCCAGATGCCACCCAACATGGTCCCCTGAGGCAGAGCGGGCAGGGAGGGAGTTCATTCCACACTATGCCCCTCGGGGATGGCAGCCGGGGTCTGCCAGCCCTGACTACCACCGCCGCCTATCGTTCCCTGCACAGGGCGAGCGGCACAATAAGCTCCGTCCCTGCCCCCTCCACCAGCTGTCGAAGGAAGAGGGGAAATAACCCCCCTTTCTGCCCCCTCACCTAAGGGGGCCATGCTAGCTGGCCCCTGGCTGCGCCCCTGCCCCTGCTGCTGGAGCAAGGGGGCAGGGACTGTGACAGGGGAGCAGCCCCTCTCATGCTTTCCTGAGGAGTGCAAGCCTCTTTCCTGGCAGACGGGCTGTGCTGTGGGACAGTCAGAGTTGCCACAGACTGTGCAGGGAGTGCTGGGGTGGGCTTGGGGGCCTATGGCCACCCCTCCAAGCCCCAGTGGCACCACTTGCCTCACACAGTCTGCAGCAGCTCTGCCTGCCCCGCCTTTGCCCACAGCACAGCCCCGTGCCAGGAAGAGGCTTGAGCTCCTGGGAAACCATAAGAGGAGCTGTTGCCCCATCAGGGTCGCTTCCCCTTTACTGCTCCAACAGCAGGAGCACAGCCAGAGGCTGGCCAGCGTGGCCCCCTAAGGCGAGGGAGCAGGGAGGGGGGTTATTTCCCCGCCTTCTGCCAGCATCTAGCAGAGAGGGCAGGGAAGGAGCTTATCCCGCCACTTGCCCCAGTGCAGGCAGCGATCAGCAGTAGCAACAGTTGGGGCTGACAGACCCCAGCTGTGGTCCCCCAGTGGGCAATGGGGATGGAGTGGGGAATAAACCCCCTCCCTACATCTTCTGCCTCAGGGGGCCATGCTGGCTGGCCTCTGGCAGCACCTCCACTTCTGCCACTGCAGTAGCGAGGGGGGAGTGCCAGGTGGGACCCGGCCTGGACCTGCGCCAGTGAGAAAGGGAGGGGGGAATTAAACCCCCTCCCTGGCCAGTTCACTTGAGGCTACTGCTGGGGCTGGCCACATCCCCCCAGCACACCTTCCCTGCAGCCAAGGGCTGCTCTAGCTCCTAAGAATTCCTACATCTAAGAATTCCTTCTGGAAAGATTGTGACGCTGTAAATTTGCCCATTGCATGTAGCATTTTGCCCAATGCAACAGTGCCCTTAAACAATTCACTGCATGCATATAGACAAGGAAATGCATAATATACTTCTATTGACATATTTTTGCATTCTGCTTAATTTAAAATGAATTATTAAAAGTGGTTTTACTTGTGCTCTGAAGACGTAGGTGGAACTTGCTATGGATTGTAACGGTTTCTTTCTTTAAAAATAAAGTGTTAGAACATTTTCCACAGATGCTTTTAATTTATCTATTCACCCGTTTGTACTGGAAGCTATACCACTACATCTATTAACAGCATGCATTATAATCGGGGCAACAACAACTGGAGCCTTATTTATGTCTAAGACATTTTGTCAAAATTACCTCAATTCATCCTCTAATTTGGGGTGCTCAAGTATTGGAAATTAACAATTTGAGTATACAATTTTAAGTACCCACAATTAGAGGCAGCTTTTGCAAGTTTGCCTCTTTAAGACCACACAACATTTACCTCCATGCAAGTTAGAGCCTCTTGAGGCCATTCTTTTTCTACACTTAAGCTCTCCTAAGGACCTACTTTTTCCACAATGTCTACAGCAAATTTAGTCTCTATTCCTTGTTCTTTTTCCCCTACCCTGTCTATTTTCCTATCTGTTCCTAAATTGTAAACTCCACAAAGAGGTGATCTTTCATTTGTGCACATCCACAAAGCATCTGGCCCACAAATAAAATACAAATTACATTCTCCCTCTAGTAGTTGGGCTAAAGACAGAACATCCCAATGCTTTATCACCACTTGAGAAAATCCTTTAATCTGACAGGTGGATGACTATTTCTGATGCTGAGGATCTCACATTAGATCTGCTAAGCTCTAAAGAGACACGATGTGAGTGGATGCATGGTAGTCACAGTAGTTGTTAAACACATGAGAAGGCTGAATTGACTTGACTTTTCTTTGAGAAATCAACACTACTCTGTCAACACAGCCAACGTTCTGTTGAAATTTAAAGTCAGCGTCTGCCTTTCCTCCTTGATGTTTCATTCTTCATGTGCCAAAATATTGTGTCTTCTCAAACCAGGACCCAAGGGCCATTCTTTCCCGTTCTAAAATAACAAATTTGAAGGTGGTGCATGAAAAGAAAGAAAGAACAAGTGAATGCATTCTGACCTTGTACTCCCCACACATATACAAGAAGTGCCAGAATCATTTTCCACAAATGCCTCACTACCCTTAAAAACACCAAAGTAATTAGCTGCTTCCATCATATCAATGGAAGTAGAGGGGTTTAAAGCAGCAATAGATTCATAAAACGTATTGTAAAGGGTACTCTCAGTAAGATATTTCTCAGAGGTACCTGCAGAATGAAACTCAAACACAGTGCAATTGGTACATCAAAGTAACCAAGAAGACATATTTCCAAATATGCAATGGGAATCGCTCTACATTGCCTGGAAAAGAATGAAGTGCTCTAAAACCTTCCTGAGAGTGCAAAAGAGAATTCTCCTGGTTTACACCAAGGGAGTGCTGAATGAAGATTAATTCCACTTAAAAGCACTGGGCGAGACTAACCAGGTTCTGACAATTTATCATGTTAGAGGGCAAGATATAAAAAATTAACAGCGTTTACAACTAGGTTTTTGACAAACTGATAACTTCTGATCTAATCTAAATGTACGAATGTGTACGGCAGTGTCCCATCCCATCCACCCCACTCCCCTGCACCGCCACCTGCTTCACATCTTCATGTTGGTCACTTTTAATAAATATTTTCTAATTCAGTTAATATTAATATGTAATTAGGCACTGGTTAACCACAGAATGCCCAGAGCAGTACTTGTAAAGACAGAGGTAGAGTTCCCATGACAAGATCCTTACTCCTGCTTCAGCTTCTAGTGGCCGGATTAAAGAAGCTGAAAGTTAGCAGTTGGTTCTGGCTACCCATGCAGCAGCCCCATGGATGTTTCTGTATGCATCTCAGAACTGTCTAAATCAGTATTGTCCAACTGGTGGCTCACAGGCTGCATGCAGCTTGCAAGGAGTTAATTTGTGGCCCCTAAATTCCCACTCAGTCACCACTCTCTCCATCAATCTAGCTGCCATGCTCTCCAGGCTCCCCCACCCTCCTCTAGCTTCTACTTCTTGCCCTTGCCCCAGGGAATAGGGTAGTACAGTACAGCACAGCCTGCAGCACTGGAGAAGCCAGTAGCTTGGAGCACCCCCATCTATGCAATGCAATAGGAGTGTGCCAGGAGGTTGCACTGGTTCACCCTGCAAGGCATGCAGCCTTCGCCTGCTTACAAGTTGGATGGACAGTCGTAGTCTAAATCATAACTAAATCTAATCTGTTCCAATTCCCACAACAGTCCAACACTAGAAGGAGACAAAAGGTGGCTACATCTCTTAAAGATGCAGCACTGAATCCCATGGTGCAAGAATCCTGCTGCATTCTGAGGGAAAGAAAATAATGGTTTTAAAAATATGAGCGAGGATCCTGATTTGGTAAATCAACAGTCATCCCCCGAAGAGATTTTGTTTCAAACCAAGTAACAGCTAATGAGTTGATGCCTTAAAGCAGGCTGATTATTTGGATATCCTTCAGAAAATAAATATGGACCTGTGCTCTTAATAAATAACTTGGCTGTTAAACTGATGTGCCCTTCTGTATTCCCTTTGGCTCCTCTGTATTTTAAACTATTTTTTCAAGTCTGCTTCTTTGCCTATTACAAATGAAAGATGCAATTATAATATTAGCAATTTCTGTTGTGAATGTTCTGGTTTATTTATAGAACTTACAGAAAATACTGATGACAATTATACTAAGCACTTGAACTACAGACTAACAGACAAGTTTTACCAAAGTAAAATCTGTCTAAAAGGGTGAAAGCTGAGTGAATTGCATCTCAAACAGCTATTTTCAAGTCCTAAATACAGAAAATTCTATCTCAGGTAAGATTTGGGGGTGAGGAGTAATAAACATTTCTGTAAGGATATTATAAGGAGACTTTTCAATACTTAGAGGTACCCCTCCCCCCCAACCCTAACTGCATATCTACACACACACAATTTTCAGAAATTAGCTTGTGCATGGCCTACTTGTTCCAATGGAAAAAGAATCAATTAAAACATCAAACTTTCAGAATAAGCTGTACTTACCACAGAAGTAAGACACTCAATAGTCACTGTCAAGATACATCAAAACTTCCAGGTCACTGAATAAATGCATTGAGGTGTAGCAAAACTACAGGATGGCTGTAGGGCTAAGTACCTTGAGGTTACCCTAGGTAACCTCTTTCATGAAACAGACAGTCCTAGAAACACTTGCAAGAGTTCCCTCTCTTCCCACCTTTAACCAGTTCAATACTACCAAACTTTAAAGCCTAAAACAGCTATCCACCAGTTTTTAAACTGTTAGAAGACTGAGCCAAGATATAGCCACACAAATATAGCCAAGCTGTATTATAAATGTAACCCTACACATTTTATAATATGCTCTGTTATCATTATGCTCTGTTATGGTAACTTTCATGCATTCCTCCTCTGTATTAATGTGCATGATCGGAGGTTTGGGAAACTACTTACACTTGTTTCTGCTGTTTGTGGGTACAGTGCGCAAAAGCAGAAGGCCAGATGGGTCTGATCTATGTCCACAGGGCCTCTCTTCCAAACCTGTGAAGCATGTGAGACAGAGGTTCTCAACCTTTTTAGACTCAAGGCATCCCTTGAAAAATGCCAGCTCTTAGTGTTCCCTTATTTTTGATTACAGAAAAATAATAAAAGCATCTCTTCTATTGCAAAGAACTTGGAAAGACCACAACAGGTCAGAATGCTTTTAACACTTTGGATTCCTAATTGTAATCTCCGGGTTTACCTTGTGAATCATGTGTGAGCACCTAACATTGCTAACAGCACATGGCAACTCACAGAACCCTTGAAAGGATCTCAAGGCAACTCAGGGTGCTGCAGCACCCTGACTGAGAATTACTGGTGTGGGCAAATATCGCAAAAGGGAAGCTGCACAAAGGTCAGAGAGTACTCACTGGGGGTACTCACTGTGATCTGTGCAGAGACCTACAGTGGGGTGGCCCTCAGCTTCAGCACTGAGATGGTAGGTGGGAAGAACAAAAGACACTCCAGACAGAAACTTGTGAGCCACAGCACATACTCCTCAAAGGGGAAGTTCTTGTATGTTTTAAGTCCTTATTGTTAGTTCACGTGGGAGCCTGTTACCCACAAGTTTTAAAAGAACAGAAATGCCTGAGACTGCTATTGAGTAGGTTGAGGCCTAAAAGAGCTGGGGGTGCTTAAACAACTTGAAAAGGAGCAGAGGATCTCCCAGGGGTGGAACAGTGGTGACCCCTGAAGAACAGGAGAAACCCAGTGGTAGAACAGCAGATCTCCAGCAGCAGTGGAGCAGGAGTACTTGTGGCCCTTGGCAGCAGCGTCCCAAGAACAGCACAGAGGTGACCCATAACAGAGGAGAGAAAGGTGCAGCAATCCCCAGCAGCAGAGAACATAAAGAGCAAAATTAGTTCAGCACTCCTGGAAATTTTGTCCAAAAAAGTCTACAGGTGGACTACAAGAGGGAAGGCAGTGCAGGTATCCTGGCAGACCTAACAGGAACTTTCTGCAGTGATACCCTTACCCAGTTGGTCCTATAATTAAACATAGTGTTTTGTTTGACCTAGTAACTTAAAACCTATAGGATCAACAATTTTAAATTCACAATATTATTAAAAAATCCTAGAGTTCGAAGAACTAAAATCTCTAAGATTTCTCTCTATATGTTTGTCTATTGGATGGAGTTCCTTCTGAATGAAGTGCACAACGAAACACTGTCTGGCATGTTCTGAGCAAAGTTCAACATTGGCATGTAAATACTGATAGAGTTTATGATACAAAACAAACACTTAGAAACAACCTAGAAGCACCTTAATTTGTATAGATAGCTGTAGGTTCTGACTGCGCGGATTATATTCTTTTAAAAAAAAGTTTTATATGTATTCAGAACCACATCTCCCATCATCTCTTTAGATACATATATAGCCCTGTCAGCATGTGTAAGAAGGCCTATTTATTTAGTTAAGTAGAAATACAAGTTTTTATTATTTTTACACCTCCAAGACAGTTCTAGGAGAGGAAGCTAAGTCTACATTAGCCTTAACTCATAATTATTAAACAACCATCATCTGTACATAACATTTCTGGCCTTACTTACACCTGTACAATCCTAGTGTACATATCTTGTCTTGCTGGCAACTCCAAACACCTCAGTGCTTTAGGGGGAAAAAAAAACAAACAAACCACACCACACAGAGGAAACAAAACTTGAAATCACAGGCTAGATCCAGATGTGAAGCAATGTGTAGTTTATAGTGCTGCAAACCTCTTGCATCGCCATAAACTGCACATCGCAAAATTTGCCACCAGGATTTCCCAATAGCAACAACAACAACAAAAAACACCCTGAAAAAAACCCAAAAGCTGTGCAAAGCATGCCAAAGAGCTGTGTGCCAGGACAAACACAGGGATGGGGAAGCAAGAAGACTGGGCCTGCTTGTTTCCCCATCTCCACGCACTGTGAAGCCCCTGCACTGTGGCACCCATGGAGCAGCTGGCTGGGGTGCAGTGTGCTTCGAGATGGGGGAGCACACAGCCTAGAGAGCTGCGGAGCCCCTGCACTGAGGCACCCACACAGTAGTGTGCTGGGGTGCAATGTGTCTCCGTGGGCTGCCTGCTCCCCCACCTTGAGGCACGCTGGGGAGCAGCTGGCTGGGGCACAAGATGCCTTGGTGTAGGGGCTCCGCAGAGAGCCCCCTCCACCCAGGGCTGCCTGCTCCCCTGTCTCCATGGGCACAGGATGCCTCAGCATGGGGGCTGCCTGCTGACTAGCCCTGCGCTGAGGCACTCTACACCCCAGCCAATCCCCTCTGCAGCCCATGGAGCAGCAGGACAATGTGTTCTTCTGCAAACTGCACAAGCAGAGGTGTGCACTGCAACACAAAGTAGAGACACAAATTTATGCCACTGCTATCTGTGCTGCTGCAAACACACGTCCTTGCTCGTGTGGACATGGCCATAAGCTGTTTGCAGCTGACACCCCACACAGGGCTATTTGGCCAACTCATTTAGATACCCAGACAACTAGTTTGTCATTACCTCAACCTCAGGAGATAAACTCCTTGTCCTTTTTTTAAGGCAAGACAGAATCCCAAGAACTCAGACTAGGTGGTCCTGCACAGAAAATTCTAGAAATGACAGCTTTTGAAAATATTCAAACTTCCCCACAAACAATAAACACTTTTATGCTAAAGTGTCAGTGGAAAGGAAGGGGCATCTAGTTTCCTGAGTAGCTGAGTGGCTCATGGTGGGCTCCTTTGCATTTTTTTGCAAGCATGCAGGCACAGTTGTAGTGAAGAAGAATACAATTTAGGAGTCTGATATTAAATAGATAGGAAAATTTATGGCTTGTCACAACTTGTTGCTTGTGTCTAAGTAAAGATAAAATGAATGCAGAATCTCTGCTGGTGGACTTCATGCCTATAAGGGAAAATGAGGTAGCCGGAAGTCTTTGCAGATCATATTTAGGGTAGGAACATACTGCTCCTTCATAATGAAAAGCTAATAAAACTGAAGCCAGATGATTAAATTCCATTCCACCACCTTTTCTTCATTCAAAAAGAAACTTACAAATTCATTCCGCAAGTTTGGACACTATCCCAGTGTGCCTCTGCTGTGTTCAGAGAGGACTCTACCTACTTCTTTAACAGGACAGAAAATCTTCCATCTTCAAGTCACTGAGAAACAGCAAATACAGAGCCCCCTGACACCCCTTTATAGTGAAAAAAAAACACTTTTCAGAGAAAAAAACCCTCTTCTACATGTTACCTTCTGGGCAATTTACATAGAACAAAGTAATTAAATGAAGCAATATGTGGATCTGTCAAAAAGAAGGTTCATGTTATAAAGAGTTACTGCCTAAGCATGTTAAGAGAAATTACCATCCCACAATATCAGCACCTGACGTAAAACAGCTGATGGGCTGCGGCAACATGCAAAAGAAATAAGTTAATTGCTCTGTACCATGATACTAAAAGTTAAACTGCCAATGTAAAACAGAAAGATAGTATTGGAACAGTAATTCAGCAGTAATTTTCAATTATTTGTAATAGGCGGGATGAGAAAAAGATGGTGGTTAATCTATCAAAATATCAGCAGGGATTTATGACAACTTAATCCATAGAAATTATTTGCACAAAACAATCTCTCTGACAGAAGGAAACAATATTTGCACAAGCAAACAGTACCAGAGATGTAGTAATACGTGGTAATTGGTGAATTGTCTTTTTCTTACATCTACCTCCCTAGTGTTTTTCCTGTGGGAGGATCACACTAAACATGCCTATTTAATAATGCATAGAAGCCTTGCTTTGGATTCTGGCTTTATATAGCAGCATGTATGTAATTTACCAATTCTATATCAGATTACATTAAAAACCCTGAATGAATTGACAGTGCATGCAGAAGAGCTACTGGTCTTGTATATATTTACTATTTTACATATTCATAATACTGTGAGTTTAAGTTTTATACATACACCCATATACACATGCATATTTTCACACACACACTACATACATATACAAATACTCTCTCCACACAAACACACACACATATGCACGCGCCTTTGTTTAGCAAGTGGCACTTTGGCCTAGATTTAACAAATCTAGAAATGCTTATTTATCAGTTAAATGGCACACAATAAGATGTAATGATATGTTTTCAAAGCTGAAGAATAATCATGTCCTGTAATCTGTCTAATTTATTTTAATGCATCTTTGGAGTGGAATTTGTTTGACTATAATATGCCTCTGTATGGTCTGGAGTTTTAGATGACATTTGCCATTTTAATTGCACTATATCTGTATTAAAATAAAATATATATTTTTGTCAAGTTCTTTATTTTTCTTTTCCCTTTGTTTTACTGCATCAGGTTTTTTTTTGCAGAAATGTTAATTCTGCCTATTCTGCAAATAAATAAATGTAGCTTTATTTGGATACCATATGCACATAGTGTGGGAGTTGAATGTCAAAAGCTGGTTTGTAATTTAGAATCCAAGCTGCACAAAAAATATAAAATAATTCCTTAAGTATTCAAATAATAGTATCTCATTTCTTCTCTCCAACATTCTAAGATGTATCTTCTAAGAAGATATCATCCTTTTTACCTTGGTTGTCATTTCTGCTCCCAGACCAACAAATCAGTGTTCTGAATAACTTAAAATATCTAGCTTTATCAGATTCAGGAATGTAATGATACTCATGCTGAAAAACAAACATTTTTGGATCAATGATCAGAACTTTTCAAACCCTAATCCTTAACACCCCTTTAATATACAGATCTCTCATTTTACAGATAAAAATTAAGTCACAGAGTACTGCCTCATGCTTGCTACGAATGCAAAGTGTCTTGTCAAAACTTTAGATTTCAGCTCACACAGAAATGAGGAAAATCCTTTCCCAGGAGTACTGAAAAACCAAAAATTGTTTCCTGTCCTAAAGAAGGAAGTCAGAATCCTAAAAAGGTGTAAGAACTGACAGTCAAGGGGGCAATTGTTTCAAGTCACCCAAACATTTTTAGTTCCATTTCACCTATTTTTATTTAAACA